TTTCTCAGGTGCTGGTGGCTTTCTTCACAGTTCGTTCTTGCTGCTGCCGCTGCTGGTGTTGTTGCCGTTGCAACGTTGTTTTCGCTTGTTGGAACTCCTCTGCGGATGTTTACTGTAGGAACTGTCGGAGATGGAGGCGGAGACGAGGAAAACCCAGAGCTTCAAGCACAGCGTGGTGGTGATGAACAAGGCGCGAAGAGAGCTTGCCAAGGCTACGGCTAACATCGAAGAGGTACTGTACGGCAGCGCCATCACCGTTGAAGCAGCAGGGGTGTTGAGGTGCAGTTGTACCGATTTTTTGGGGTATCACAGAGAGAGAACTCGAGCGAGGTTTTCCAGCGTCAGACAGCGGTGGGGCGTGGAGCTCGAAGCGGGCAGGACCCAAGTGCTTGCCGAGTGTACGACAATGGCATGCGTGGAAGCATTCGGTTGCTGGCGCTGACGGTTGATCGAAAAGAAGCGTAAGGGCGCCGCGACGCATCCAGTCACGACCTTAGGCTTGAGGGATCGCCGGCTGGGCGGTTGATCCTACCGATAGGCGTAGGAAACAACACCAAAAAAACAACCAAGCACAACCTAAAGAATAACAATTCTGGCCAGGCGGCGACGGAGCTGAGCAAGCAGGAGTCCGCCATGCGGGAGGTGAAGAACACGCAGTACAAGATCCACGAGAAGAGGAACGAATTCGCGACGAGGTCGTCTGAGAAGGCAGAGCTCCAGCGCAAGCTTGTCCGGTAGGGACTGCGCGTTGCGCTACCTTGGTTGCTTGCTTGTGTGTGTTGCGTTGGCCTGTCTGTGCCGACCGGCTGACCAGAGCAAAGTCGTCGGTCTCAGTGCGGGTAAAAAACGGAAAAACGCTTCCAAGCGCCATGATCTGGGTGGGTATGTTCGGTTGTTCGCGTTGACCTGTCTGTGCCAACCGGCTGACCATCGAAAAGCTGTCGGTCTCAGTGCCGATAATAAACGGGAAAGCGCTTCTAAGGGTTATGATATCTGGGCGAGTGTTATTGTTGGCGTTGATCGTGCTGATCGGCTGACCCCTCGCAATGCGTGATCGGTCTACATAACAAGAAACCATGGTTCCTCCAGGAAACTAGCTAGCATTAGACGATGGGACGAGCCCAGGTATCAGGCAAGCACGTCGTAGCTTCGCGTCCTGTGCGGGTGTATGCACACGTCTGCGCGTGTCTCGCATGCGCCATGGGTATTGTGCGACATATTCCGCGTGTTCATTGCAGCATTTCTTGCCAGGGGGGTATTTGAAATTCCCTATCGGCTTTTGGGTATTTTTGTGTCGAAGGCAACCATTCCCCCTTCTTGTACAGTAGTCTTCCTATGCATACTCAATGCGAGATTTTGCCCTTCCTTTTCTCTCCTTCGCAATTTCCCCGGACTCTCTCATTTTGTTTGTTTCGGGTCTCGCCTTTCTTCTCTTGTAACGAATAGTGAGAATATGCACAGCGGTATTGCAACAACGACCACGAATGCACCTGAAACTGGTGGAACAGGTTCGACGAAAAGCTTGCCCACCTTCGCAAGCAAGCGGCCTTCAAAACGGAAGCGATGGCGGGGGAGATGGAGGCGATCAGGGCAGCCATCGCTGAGAATGAAGCGCACTACAACGAGGTGGGTGTGCGTGCTCGCTCCTGGCCTTCCCCGCTCCCAAAACAATAGAACATCGAAGGGCAATATATCAACGCACTTCATTTTTACGCAGACGCAACAAGGTGAAACAGCAAATTTATTGTTTCATTGCATGGGTTCAATGGGGAGTGACGTTAAATGGCTGGTAAAAGGGAGACTTGTACCCGCAAGATTTTTATTTTGAACGTGCTTCCGTTGGTTAACATGAATTCTTGAGAATCTTCGCCATGCTCTCCTCGATGATTCATTCATGTCAGGGAGCCAATCCTTACAGTTCCGGGGGCGGTAGCTTTGTTGTGCACTGATTCCAAGTCGTTCCCCTTCTCGCCTCTTGGCACACCAAATCCCAGTGATTTTCACGCTATTTGCCGTATTTTGTACTTTCATCACGTACTCCAAGTTGCCATCGTCCCGAGTATACCACCGACAGGATTACCCTTCTTGGCCTTCAATGGATTTTTCTGCCTATGGAACACAGCCCGATGATGTTAGTGGGTAGCCCCCGTAAAATTATCTTTAACCGGCAAGGGAGATATGGAACGACGAACGGCAGACAAGAAAAAGGCGATAATACGCTTTGCTCGAAAGGAAAATAATCGACCAAATGGGGTGTGTGACCTGTTGTTTCCGCGCTTGTTGCGGGCATCGTTTTCTTTTTGCTTGTCTTTTGGTTTAATTTAACGCAGGCACATGCTCGGATGGAGGAATCCCAGGCGGTCTTGGATCAGTACCGCCAGGATAAGGAAAACGTCGAGGAAGAAATCGTGAGTATTTCGCAACATCAAGCATTTTGTTGTGCATACGCCTGGGGGTTATCTCGTTGTGGTTGTTACTGTTCGCGTATCATGTTGTGTATAGTTCGGCGCGCTACGGTGCCCCACATTGGGCCGGCGAACGTCTGCGCATTTGAAGCAACAGCAATATCTGCTTGCTTGTGCGGCAAGTGGTGCCCTGCTTGCCGTCAAACTCAACCTGACAATCTGACCGCAATGTGAAAAAGCGGGACCCGTCCCCGGCAATCAATGGGGAGACGCGACCCTTTCTTCGTTTAAGGCAATCTCCAAAGCCAGTGACGACCTGGATTGATTGTCCGTCGTGCGCTTCGTGTGTGTGGTACTCAAGAAGTGAAAATAGCAAAAACCCTTGGATTCCTATGTTTCTGTCGATTTTCCTTTATGAACAGGCGAAGAACGTCTCGGACACGAAGGAACTCCTGACACAGATCGGCGGCATCACCGGTGCCTACGCGAGGCGGCTCCAGGCAGCTATGCGAGACGGAGAGCACCATCCCTCAACCGTCCTCACATGAGAACAAGCCCCATCATCCCCAAGGATCGGAAGTCATGCTCGGCTGACTTTTTTCTTTAACTCTTGTAGCATCATTTGCGTGTTTTTCGTGCTATTTTTCGTCGCTGTTGCCGCGACGGGAAGAGCTGTAAGACTGCACTGCCCGAGACGGCAAGGCTGCTGCTATGTGAGCGTTTTCCTCGGCAACGCGTTAGCAGGAGCACCAACAGCACGGCATAGGTCTCACCCCTTCGGTTGTTTTGGGCACGTCAACCTTGAAGTTCTTTTTTCTTGCACGGTAGTGGCTCGGATGAATTGTACCACAGCCTTCGGCGCAGCTCTCTTTCTGTGTTATTTTTTTGTTCCTAACAACTGCTGTCCCACACCGCCATGTAATAAGATACCTGAGATTTTCAGCGGGGGGTGCTGCGGAAGACAAAAAAACGAGCAAACCGACGCTTCAGTTCTCGGGGACAAAGGGGAGTGGGGAGGCTGCACCCCTCCCTCCCTGTGGCGACCGGCTTGAAACCGTTCATGCGCCGAGCCAGAGCCAGAGCCTCTGGGACTCGCTGTTTTCGTCCCGCAAGGCATGTACCTTCCGGGGTCGGAAGGCCAACAAAACTTCCAGTTGAAAACTGAGCGAAACAGCAGCGAAATCCCGGCAACGATGCGGCGTGATCGCTTCCCGACTGAAGAGGAGAGAGGGAAGGAGGAGGGATCATCTCCGAAGGGAGCTTTCGGTTGTCAGGGTCTACTCACGCACACGTGAGCAACAGCGGGCGGCAGTTGTGCGATGGCGCGCTTTTCTCTCCCCCTTAGCTTGGCGTTTCGCCCCGCTGTTCGTAAATTTTAGGAGCAGCAGCAGTAGCAGCACTGCTGCCATGTTGGCGGCTCGTGTGCCGTTGTTTTATGGTGCGTCGCTTGCTGGCGAAGGGATATATTACGACTGTCTATTTTAGAGGAGGTAAATGCGATGTGCAGGTAGAGGTAGATGCCGAAGCTGCTCTAGGCGTTTTGTGCGTGGGCCTGACCTTTCGCAGTTGCCGCCGCGAGAGGCGTGCCTGTGGTACATCTTTGTATCGCCTATCCTCGGGCACGGCACAGGCGGTGTTTACGCCAACGCTCGAATCGATTCGTGCTTTGCAATATCTAATTTGTTGAAGTGGGAGTTTGGAAGGGAGGAGGAATCAATGTCCCAATAGGGAGTGCTTTGGGTCTTTGTCGCGTTTGTTGCTTTTCGCACACAAACATGTTTGAGCAGCATGTCCCATGGGTCCATCATGTAACTATGCTTGCCTAGTGATGCAACCTGAGGTTTAATGTTCTCATCTTTCTCCCGCTTCTCGTTTGCGTGGTAATCTCATGTCCAGTGCGCTTGTGCCCGAAAATGATACTGGTACTTGCCGATACGCTTTACCTGGGGGGCCAAATGTCATGAGGTTACGACCCGCAACAGGTACAGCAGTATCGTATGAAAAAAACACATCAGGTTGTTTTCTATCCGGGACCACTCACGCACGGACCTCTATTTCCCGCGCCTTCCTAAAAGCACACAAAATAAGCCAGCTGCCGGACGGCACGCCACCGAGATTCTCTGCACTTGTGCGCTCGAATCGACCCCATCCTTGGAGGGCCTAACCCACCAATGCATGACAGCTGGTTCGTCATGCATGTGCGGTTGAGGTGGAATCCTCGACTTGGGGGCAACACACAGCATCACACGGAGAGCCGTCGTCGTTGGACAGCAAAGTCGACAAACGAAACAATATATCAACAAGACATCCCGTCGTTTGCGTTGGTTGGTCCTTCTGAGTCCACCTAAAAGGTCATACGTACTTGTTGTCATGTTCTCCGCCGAAGCGTGGGGCGAACGCAGACAATATTCACATCATTCAGGCTACTACAGACATCGACATTTGTAAGAACGAATCAACCACACATCACAAAAGCACCGCCGCGGCATCCAATCATTGAAACACGCGCCATGTCTACCGCCACTCTCGGATGTGTGTCAATCTTTCTTTCCCAAGCGAGAGCTATCGATCGACACACCCTCCCAATGAAATCAACACAAACCAAACACGCCTCCGCTTTTTTTTCGGAGAATTAATCAATCCATCCGAGTCGTGAGTTCTCGCGTCTCGATGCCCTCCTCGGTGATGAGGTGAACCACCGCCCCGTACCCGCTCAGGCAGTCTCGCTCCAGCGCCGACAGCAGGCAGCGGGAAGCCACCCGAAACAGCTCCTCCCGCTCCATCCCCGGCCGAAAAAAAGCCTCGCAGGTTCCGTACAGGGACTGCGCCGAGGTACCCGCCACCACGAAATCGTCCACTTGTACGGGGGCTCCAAGTATGNGGGGGGGGGGGGGGGGGGGGGGGGGGGGGGGGGGGGGGGGGGGGGGGGGGGGGGGGGGGGGGGGGGCATGCGCTAGTCAGGTGAGGGACATCCAGAAAAAAAAAGAAGCAGATGGTGCATATTTGAGTTGTGGGCACTATCGTCTGTCTTTCCCAAGAATCCAACTGGACATGTGGTTATTGAATGGTTCTGTTCTGCAAGTAAAATGGTACCGCTTTATTCAAAAGGCCAACCAAAAACATTCGACTGAATCCTTCCCTCCGAACCTTGCGTGATCGGCAAACCTTCCTCCTGGGCTAGCAGAGGGATGGAAGCATCTCACAACGCTGCATGTAACCCTAAGGCCGTGGATATGGTCACACACCCACGCCGATAAACCAGGCTGTGCAAACATTGTAAAAACATGTGTAAAAATGGACACAGCGCCCAGGCTGTCTCTTGTCTTCACGGAGACGCCATTTTCCCATGGCCCTGACGCTTGACATGCTCGTTTACTGCTGTTGTGAGGCCACAGAGAGATCATCCAACCCCTTGGCGGACGACCTGGAAATACCACTACACCAACGTGAAAACCCATGACAACATGTTTTCGAACACAACACGCCCCTCCTCCCCCACCCACCCCCGCCTGAAGTACACCAGCAGCCCGTGACACACCTGCCCGCAGAGATACGGCTTCCCCCGGGGGTCCAGACCCGCAACGATCGGCTCCACGAACCACGGGCTCCCTCGGCGCGAGTAGAGCAGGGTGGATAGCAGCCCCGCCAGCGCCGCCGGGGCGATGGGGCGGTCGGCCTCCGCCAGGCTCTTGAGGGCGACCTCCGAGGACAGGTCCTGCATCACCGTCAAAACGTCCGTCCACAGCCCCGTAAATCCGCAAAGTAGTTGGCCGTTGACCTGTGTGTGTGTTGTGCGCGGAGGTTGTAGGATGAAAACAAATTGCAGAGTGTGTGTTTTAGAGGTGTGCCCTGCCGTGGTGTGTGTGATAGAGGAGGGGATTGAGGACTGCTAGGGTTGAAAATAGAGAGAC